CATGCCCAAAGCTCTGCAACTCCCCACTATTAGAGACATTTTCTATCTTAAGATCTACCACGGTTTTGAAGAGTCTGGAAGCACAATTAGCAACGTTGTGGTGGTCTCAGGAAGCAGCAGAGGTGATGGACCTCCTGAGCCAGACACAACAGATTCCCTCATGAATTCTCCTATTCCCATTGTATGAAAAAGTGAGTTCAAAAAAACCCCGAACAGTCATTGGTAGCAAGGCATTCATCAATAGGTCTCTAGCTTTGTTATCAGAAACTGTGGATGCTCATTTGCTGTTTACAGTTCTGTGGTGGAACCTCCGCTGCCCAACCCAGCGAAGAGCCAGTTCTCACCCAGGAAACCTTCCTCCCCTCCCCAAAACAACCAAGTCTGCAAAAGAAACCAGCAAAACAGCCTAGACAATGACAGCAGGCGCTGCCTATTCTCCCGTGAACCGTGGTACACTGTGAACTCTGGTGCGTATTTCCAGTCATATGTTTTAGCAAGCTGGTGTTACAAAGGAGCACAAAAGGTGAGGGATCATACAATGCTAGGTAATACAAGAAGAAAGCTAATGAAGGCACTTTCTCCTCCTGCCCTCTCCCTGTTATTTCAGTTATCCAGAGGATGAGATTAGGTGTTTGATCCTCATCAGAGGAAGCTAAAAGTCGATCTTTTATTTTCAGATTTCCTTTGCAACCACCCCACCAGGCACATTTAATAAGAGGAGTTCATGGGCAACAGGGTTAGCACACCTTGTCATGCTCCTTTCAAGATCCCTTCTGCTTCTCTGCAACCAGGAGAAAGCACGTGTCCCCTCTCACACTACAGATGTTTCTGCAGTGCTCATCAGAGCGTCTAAACTCAGATTGGGTAGCTCCTATTTTAAGGCTTTAAGTGCCCACAAAGAAAAGCAGAGTGTACCTGGCGTAAGAAAGAACTCAGAATCTGGTCTTGAAAATGGGTGTAAATCAGGAGGATGCTGTACAAGACGCTGATGCAACAGCAGTGACTTGTAATAGGGATGTCTCTCCCCAGCAAAGGCAATAACAAGAATTTGGGGAATGAGAAGGCTCCTGTAGCTGTGCAGGCCTGTTTCTTAACATGCATTAGCCATCAAGGTCAGAAGCTATTTTGAAGACAGCTCCCAAGACATAAACCAGGTATAAAGCAAAGACAACTGCAGACGAATTACTAGGAGCTGGAGATTAGGAGATTATCAGATTGAAGAGTCTCAGGAGGAAGCGAGAAAAAATAGCACGAAGATGCAAAGCAGTGACGCAGGACAGCGTGCAAGACCTCAAGGGGAAGGCAGGGCAAGTTTCGAGCAATATTGATATGCCTGCTTAGACAACTGGAGTGCAGGTAAAGAAAAAACTAAACCATGTCCCTTGCCCTCTGCCTCAGCAGTTGAAGTCCTCTAAAGAGAAGGGCAGAGAAACAAGACAAGCCCGCCAGGACCCACTCCATTTCTGAAGCCACGGGTTTTGGATAATCAGAGACAGTGGGGGCAAATGGGGAGAGAGGCATCTGCAACCCAGAGGAAAAATCTTGCACCAGGAGTTTTTCTGCAGCGGCACATTTACTGATCGACGTTGTGAATGAAGCAGGGAGCTGCATCCCAGCAGGCTCTGCACAGGGGCATTTACAAAGGTCCCCACAGCCCCCAAGATGTACCTACCTGGCAGCGTGCCCTGCCACACTATGCACCGAGTCCTAGCGCACGGCTCACCAGGCTGTTTTTTGTTGCTGCTCATCTTTTTTTATTTTTTTTAGCTAGAGCTTTCCAGACTTCACCCTCTCACAATTAATTTGATCACAGCCCTCCAGGCCTTGTTCAGGAAGGATCGAGCTCCTCTTCCCCCATCCCAATGCATCCAAACACTCATCCCTGCCTCTTTCTTTATGCTGATTGCACGCAAACTCTGAAACCGCATTGACAACATGAACAAAATCAGCTCACTTTGCTCTTCTGCAGGGCTAAGCCAGCACAATCAGGCCCTGCCCAAATCCGCAGGCTGACTCCCCCAGCTTTCCTCGTACCTTTGCCATTTCCACCGGGGATGGCCCAAACCCACAACACTGGCAGAAGGAGGAACCCACTCAGCTGCCAGCCCAGCACCCTGTGCTACACACACGCCATCCTGCTGCCCCTGGGAATCTTAACAGTCCATATTGTACTGTGAGACTACTAAAAAAAACCCACTTCATCTGCACAACACTTTGAGTTGCGCATTATCACAAAGCCGTGAAAAGGTTCATAACGTATGTGGTGTTGCCGAGGAAAGGAGTCATGGTGCGAGCAGCTTGACACAGCTCTGGGATATCACTCTGCCACAAGAAGTCATCATAGCAAACCGCTTTTACACATCACAGCCCCGGACAACTCAGAACAGTGATTCATTAACCACCTCACAAACACCCCTGGCTCATCAGAGCTCCTAATAAAACAAATTTTCCCAATTAATTGAGGAAGGAAAGGAAAGTCACGGTCCAGGAGCAGCTTTGAAGATTGATTTGCACACATCAGCTTCCCATTAACGCTACAGGGAAACTGGTATGAAAGTCACCCACAAAGAGTCTGCTGCGACGGACCTGTCGAGGCAGCTCTCTGCCAAGCCGGCCTTTAGCTAAAGCTGCTAAGAGAAGTCTAAGAGAAATCCTAAATGACAGCTCAGGGAAGAGATTAGTTTCAGAAATTATTAAGTGCATGTTCCTTATTTTTAGGTTTTGTTTTGTAATTGTTTCCAAGTATGTAATCAATTATTTAACCCTTTGGTTTGCTAAAATAGAATAAGCTTTAGAATAAAGCTTAAAATATAAGCCTTAATCTAGTACAACAGACAAACTGCACAGGTGCCTGAAGCTGTGATAAGCAAGGAAGCCTCAGAGGCTGCAGCTTGCCTCTCATTAGGTATCTGAAGCCTGGTACCAGCACACACTAGCAAAAGGGGATGGCATCACGGGGGCTGTAATACCATCTTTCTGCCGACCACCGACGACTCCAACCCCAAAGATGGAGGAAGAAATTAAAGCTCTGCTTGAATTAACCTTGCCCTGCAGGTAACATGGCAGTAGCACAGCATGACCCAGCAAAGCTATGAGACGCAGCACGGTCAAAGACACGAGGGACAGTGCCTGGAGATGACAGGCCCCAGCTCCTCAGCTGGCTCCACGAGGCAGGACACGGCGTTCGCAGGAAACCGACATCCCAATAACTGCCAACAGACTCCTCTGATCCTCTGCCTGCTTTGGTAATTAATTGCAATTTGAACTGAGCTCTGCCCTACTCCTTTGCTAATCCTAAGCTAATCACATCATCAGGTTTTTCCTTCTTGTAACCGCAGTTGTGTGAGCAAGTAACAAATCTTGCTAATTGCAAAGAAAATGGTTCATTCGCCTTACACCTGATCCAGCTGGAGCAGCGCCAGAGCCGGCCCAGACAGAAGGCCCGGATAATCCTGGGCAGCACCACAGACCCATCAGGCTGGACCCTAGCATGCCCGGAAATGTTATGGCCCTCGAGCTGCTGGTAAATTTAACATTGAAAGGATGCAGTATACGCAGGACCGTTTGCACAACTCCCCCTCTAAGCTTATTAGAAGCACACTAAGAGCAGAGCCCAGCTGGCTCTTCTGGCTGGTTACAGATGGGGTTTCTCTGGGTTAGCAGTAAGCACGCTTTTGCCACAGAGCCACATCCTGCACCTCCACCCTCCCAGCCCGAGACATTGAACATCTGGCCATTTGTCAGCTGTACCTACTGGAAGAGGAAAGCCCCACTGTGCTTCCTGATGCAAAAGCAAGGGCTTTCCCTAGAGCCCAAGCCCAGAGCAGGGCTAACAGCCTGCCCGCACGCTGCCAGGTGAACAGGCAGCAACCACGAGCAGCAGTTTGGCTTCCCAGAGACCCAGCTCTCCCAGGGCTGAAGGGCGAGCAGATTTGCCCAGTGTATGAAGAAGCATGGAGAAGCTCTGCAGCAGGCAGAGCAAGCACAAGATGGCAAAGCCTGGTTCCAAAAAAGCATCTGGAAGATCAGCACACCCCAGGCACGTGCAGGGCTGGAAGGGCCCTCCTGGTTGCAAGCCTGGTGCCCTGCTGCCACAGGCAGCCATGCTAGGCAGTCCCTTGCGTAACTGGATCCATACAGCAGCTGGGATTCTGCCTCTCCCCACACAAGCTGGAAGGCCATTCAGAAACACACAGGGTACTCGTGGTGTAAGCATTTCTAAAACATATGTTCCTGCAGTACCAAGCCCCCCTCTAACACTTCTTCTCCTGGGATTCATTTGCTGAAGCAACACCAAAACGTGGCCAGACCTCCCCCAGTCCCCGGGCAGCACACAGTTTATCTGCGGTCCCTCGACAGTGTGAGCTACTGTCTTACCGGCCCACGAGTTTGGATGAAGATGAATTATACCCCATCTGGAACCACAGCGGATGTCCAGGGCACCAGGACTTTTCTGCTGCAACTGCATCACCAACTCCCCCTTCAACTTCAAACCATCTGGAGCACCACAGCTTTGGTGTCAAAATCTGAATTGTTGAAATAGGGCGTCACGTCTGCCCCAACTCAGCATCTCCAAGGGAGAGGCTGGGGCTGGGATAGCCATGAACTTCTCTGCCACTGTCTGGTCCTTCCTCCTCCTTGCAGCACCCTCCACTTGGAGCACAAGACTGGAACAGTTTTCACCCTGGTATTTTTGGCAATCTGTTTTTAAGAGCTTGCTGTGGCATGTGGAAATGAGAAAAGGCCACAGAACACCTCAAATAATCATTACATGTTAAGGATCAGAAAAATATCGTATCTTTGCTCTCTGTGTTCAACCCACCAGGTGAGAAGCTGAGCTTGAGAAAGGGTGCTGCAAAATATTTCTAGGAAGTAAGGTACAATATGCTCAACGAAGATGTATTGTACACCTGCATCCCCAAACACACACTGAGGATTTCAGGTGCAGCGAGTATTTGCTGGCTCCCATGTACCCAGCCGGACAGACAAGCATTTCCCAGGGGAAGGCATTGCCCATGGCTCATCACAGCGCCTGGTCCTTGTTCGGCGTGACCCATCCACACCCCCTGCCCTGCACTCGTACCAGCAAGTCTCGTAGCAGGAGCAGAGCAAAACCTTTTCATGCATTTCACATCTTCCCTGTGCTCCAGAGCACTCTGTGACATGGTTGGAAGAGGCAGGCGACAACCAGCTCCACTCCCAGCCTGGCTCTGAAGCCAGGGTGACCAGCTCAGCCTTCCCTGCGCCCTGGGAGCGCAGGTGCTTACCAAGAGCCGCGCACCATCTGCGCTGGCCAGAGCGATGCCACGTGAGGTCTGCACGCCCCGGCAGCGAGGGTGCGGGGTGGCCATGTGCCTGCAGCCCTTCCAGACAGCGCTGCCGAAGGCAGGGACACGCAGGCTACCGTAAAGAAAGCACGCAAAGCGCTTAACGCGGCCATCGCTTGGCTTCCCCATCGAACTGCTGCTCCTCCGAGTGTGCTGGCGGTACGCTTCAGTGCCTGCTGCACAGCTCTTCCTGCTACAGGCAGGGGATTTCTGGGCCCAGGGAAGCGAATCACACTGCTGCAGCCCCTCAGAGCATCTCCACTCGGAGAAGGGGACCCAAGGACGCCCCAGCATCAGCTCCTCTTTCACAGGACCCTCCGTATCCCCTTCCTGAGGGCTAACACCGAGTCCCTGCGGGGCTTTCCTCCCGCCCTCCCTTCCACCCTGCTCACCACATGCAGGCCCACAGGGCTGCCTGCACGCACCAAGATTCGCAGCCGCATCCTTCCTCTCCAGGGCTCGTCACACCGCACTGCCCTGGCCTGCGACACGAAACCTGCTCCAACGTCACGTCGCAGAGCGCTCCAAGGCGAAGAGGAGCACAGCCGGACACCAGGCCAGCCCCCTCCTCCCTGCCAGAAGTCTTCTCCCCCTGCCCAACCTGCTGCCTGCAGAGAGACAACCCAAAGGTCCCAGGACACGCAAAAAGCCCTTTTTGGGGGACAGCGAGGCAGACCCCCCTGGGCACTGCTGAGGCCAGCCTGGCTGAGGCACGTGCCTTCTCCCGGCCCGGCGTGCTGCAGCCCCGACGGGTCCAAGGCAGGGTGGGCAGCTGCCTGGTCCCCACCAAGCTGCTCCGCCGAGCACAACAAACCCTCCAGCCGACACGCTCGCACGCCTGCGCTCTCCTGAGGATGCTCTC